ATATAGTTTACATACCCTTTATACACTTCTTTTCCTTGTGAGGAAATATTTTTTCATGAAATATTATATTTCTAGAAATAATAACCTCACTGGTTTCTTCATTTAGCAATTTCTATCCCTTTATACCAAACGGATACCCTATGAACACATTTCTTCTTGCTCTTGCATCGAATTTTTGTCTCCCACTCAATAAAGTAAATGCGAAGGCTAAACACCCAAATACTTTCAGGTGACTATAATATGGTTCCTTTCCATACAGAATCTCAAAAGGTGTCTTCCCACCTAACACAGAGGAGGGTGTTCTGTTAATTGAATATGTAGCAGTAAGCACAAAATCCCTCCAATGCTTGGTGTCCATTCCACTTTAGAATTTTAACGCCCCTGCAGTATTGAGTATTTGCTTATGCTTTCTCTCTACTCTTCCATTCTATTGTGCACTTTCCACACAACTCTTTTGACGCATGATTCCTTTTTCATTATAGAATCTCTTTATTTTGAATTCTCTTCAGTTACTAGTTCTAATTACTCTTATTTTTCTGTCAAATTGAGTCTCAAAAAAAGTGCAAAAATGTTGTTAATGTGAACCTGTTTCAACCTTACTTTGCATCATCTATACCCAGGTAAATCTAGAAAAATCATCAACAGTTGTTAAAAAATATCTAAACCCATCATAAAAAATTTCATTACAATGTCCCCAAATGTCACAATGTATTAAATCAAAATATTATTATGCTTTATTATTTCTATGAGAAAATAAAAGTTTATGTATTTTTGTCCATGAACATACATAACATAACTTAGAGTCTTTGTTTGCTAACATATCAAAATCAAAACTGTTGTTGAATGAAGGGTGTCTAAGTTTATAGTGCCAAATATTAAAGTCTCTCTCCTCTTTGTTGGAGCTTTGTAGTGTCATTCCTGCAAAGATTTGTTGACTTACGTTTTCTGAATCCTTGGGTTGTCTAAGCTGGTATAGTCCATCCTTAATCTCGCTCATCCCAAGTGTCTTTCAAGTCAAAAAGTCCTGAATAACACAATATTGTTGTAAGAAAATTAGACAACATCTGATATCCTAGTTTAACCTTTTTACAGATATTAAATTAAATCTAAATAAAAGCACACATAACACATTGTTTAATACAAGTTTATCACTTAATTTTACTACCTCTACACAAGATACATCTACACTTTTTCCATTTGATAATACAACTTTATATCTAAATTTAATGTTATCTTAGTACATAATTGTGGTGTGTGTACTATATGATCTGAGGCCCTAATATCAATTATCCAAGTTGTGTGTGTTAATATTTCTATCTATTGTGCATATATTAAAATAAGAAAATATACCAGAGAATGCAGTAAGTTTCTGATCCCAAGTTTGCTCTGAAGTTGCTTGTACTATGTTAACAGTAGCCTGATTTCCTTGAATGAAGGACATAAGTTGGTGGAGTTGATCCTCTGTCAATAAATTATGCTCTTCTCCCTAAGTTTAGTTTAATGACATTTGATTGATGTTGGGTTGTCTGATCTTGTTTTGGGTCCTTTGTCCCTTTACTTAGTTCTTATCTCTATAGCATACCTTAGCCGTATCTCCTAGCAGATTACAATTGGTGCATACAGATCTATTTGGATTGATCTTAAAACATCTTTCCAAAGAATGTCCAGTCTTCTTATAATAGATACAATAATACTTCTCTTTGTTCGAACTGGCAATTCTCTGTGATTTATTAGCCTCTTTTATATTGAAAGCTATGGCCAGGTTAGTGACAAATTTCAAATAAATTTCTCTCATTTTTTCTTCTTGTTGGATGATAGAAAATGTCTCATTCAAACTAGGAAGAGGCTTTATTGTG